TCCCTTTATGTGAGTTTTTGGAGGAAGCTGAGTCTTAGGTTCATGGATTCTGATCTCAACATCATATAGTTGTTCTACCTACATCTGCTTCTCTCCCAGTTCTTTGATATTTAGCAGTTTCTCTACCTCTGTGTAGGTCTGGGATTTCTCAGCAGCCATCTTAGTCGCGCTCTTGAGATTTTGATTGGGCTTGGCCACTTGCAATTTGAGCATTTCACTGAAGTTTGCATTTGAGCACTGTAGCTTTGGGTTAACCTTCAGCTAAGGAGAGTTCATAATTAAAAGTTGCTGTTAAGCCTTTTTCATTTATTCATTTAGCTAATAGACTTTTCCAGTACTACATGTACTAGATAATATGTAACAACAACAAAAAAAAGCAAATCACAAATCATGCCTTTCTGATGCTTATGTTGGATTTCATTACATTGGTTCTCAATTGTGGATACTTATCAGAGCTATTTGAGGAGAAGATTTTTACAACATTTGCAGGGACCTCTACAGACCAATCAAATCAATCTCTGGTGCAGAGAGTGGGCCCAGCCACCTATGAGTTTGAAAAAGATTGCGATGATTAACCCTAACCATAGAAACACTGCTTTATGAAAATGACAGTGCCCCTGGGAGGGCCATATTGGCTACATACTTGAATTTAAGATTTAAACTGTTTAATTGGGTTTTTTAAGATTTTTATTCTTGATGCCATATATAGTGTTACATAAGAAATACCATCTCAGTGTGTCTCTTTATTACTGATATTATATTACATTTGTGTAAAATGGCCTATCTTTATAAAACTTTTACACATGTATTATTTCATTGTTGTTCATAATTCTGCTTTAAACAAAATTCTCTGTTTTATAGATGAATAAACAAGAGTCTCAGAGATTATATGACCTGTCCAAAGTCCTGTGACCAGTAAGTGTTAGCAGTTGAGATAAGAGTGTAGGTTCTGTACACCCTGGTTTTGTACTTTTTTGTTTTTGTACTTTTTAAAAGATTGGACTAGGTGTTATGGCTCATACTTACAATCCCAGAGCTTTGAGAAATTGAGGCAGGAGGATCGCTTGAAGCTAGGAGTTTGAAACTAGCCTGTGAAACATAGTGAGACCCCCATCTCTACAAAAAACAGAAAGATCAGCCAGGCATGGTGTGTGCACCTGTAGTCACAGCTGCTTGGGAGGCTAAGGTGGGAGGATTGCATGAGCCCTCGAGGTCAAGGCTGCAGTGAGTTATCATTGCACCACTGTATTCCAGTCAGGGTGAAAAAAAAATCACATAGCTATGAATAGTTTATCTTAAATATTTTTCAAAAGTGTTAAAATTCTCATAAAACTTAGCCCATTTATACCTTGCTTCTATTGTCTTTAGGGTCTTCATGTTTTTAAGAGACCATTTTAAGGATCTTGAACCTGATACTGCTGTCTATTAATTAAATAAAGATAGGGTCTCACCCTGTCCCAGACTGGGTGCATTGACAGATCATAGCTCACTGCAGCTTTGATCCCCCGAGCTCAAGTGGTCTTCCTGCCCCAGCCTCCTGAATAGCAAGGACTACAGGCTTATGCCACCTCGCCCAGCTAATTTTTTTTTTTTTTTTTAAACTATTTTTGTAGAGATGGCGTCCTCTCTTTGTTGCCCAGGCTGGTCTTGAACTCTAGGCCTCAACCTACAACTTTGCCGATTCTGCCTCCCCAAAGTGCTAGGATTATAGGCATGAGCCGCCTTGTGCAGCTCCTACGATCTCTTAATAGCAGACTTTTGACAGAACGGCTTCCCATTTGTACTTTTGTTTTTATTCAAAAGTCAGACTTTTGCCAACCATTTTTATGGAGGGCTATTGTTGATTTCTTGAGTTTTTTTCCTTAAGTAAACTTTCTGTTCAAATGTGACCTATGTTCAGAGA